TTTATTTATTTATTTATTTTTTAAAGATTTTTTTTTTTATTTATTTGAGAGAGAGAGAGCATGAGAGGGGGTTGGGTCAGAGGGAGAAAGAGACTCCCTGCTGAGCAGGGAGCCGGACGCGGGACTCGATCCTGGGACTCCAGGATCATGACCTGAGCCGAAGGCAGTCGCTTAACCAACTGAGCCACCCAGGTGCCCCAAGCTTTTGGGTCTTTTAAACCTGAAGTCTACTCTAGTTTACAATATCCAAATTTATGAGATCTAAATTTCCTTATTGCTTAATCCATTTTAAATTGAGATTTGTTATATGCCAGGGAGAACATCCTTACTGATAGACCACTTTATATCAATTCTTCATTATCTCTAATTTGGGCTATTGCAGTGCTATGTGATCTTTATGCCTTCAAACCTAATCTATTTCATACATCTGCTGCTAGATGATCCTTCCTAATGAACTATTTGATCATGTCCTTGGTTTTCTCCAAAGACCTTTAGCAACTTCCTCTTGCCTAGAGAATAGTTCAGACTCAGCAGCTCAGCATTTGTGGTTTTATGCTTTCCATACCTCGTGTAACAGATACACAGAATTAAGCACTATCCCTCAAATGTACCTCTCCCTTTCCTGCTTTTTTCCTGCTTTTCTTTCCCTGGAATACTCTTGTTCCACCTACTCCTGTCCATGTACAATTTTCTTCTTGAAGCTATCCCTTCCCTATTTCCACCCCCTGCAAAGTAATCTCTCCTTCCCCTAAACTTCTATGGTCTGTATTATTACCTTGAATTGGTATTATTTATCTAGCATAATCTCTTCTACTACCAGTACTGTTCCATGGAATTTTCTGTGAAGATGGTTAATGAGCACTTGAAATGTGGTTAGTGCAACCGCTGGCCTGAATTTTTCATTTTGTTTCAATTAATTATTTTGAATATAAATAGCTACAAGTAGGTAGTGGCCGCTGTATCATACAGCATAGTCCTGGACTAAAAGGCTCTTGAATGTAGCACAGGGGTTATGTCTCTTTTCTCTCTAATCACTACAAAGAGCATTGGAAAGGCACAGTATATTTTATTCTCTCTTATTTTCTCCGCAGAGCTTTGTGGCCAATAGACACTGAATATTTATTAGATCGTTAAATTTGGAAATCACATTTACCAAATACGGTATATAAGTAAGCGTTCTGAACTATTTTTGTTCCAAATTCAAGTAGATTAAATAGGGGAGAAGGGTAAGCTGGATGGACAAAACTCTCACCTGTTACTGAGATACAAGGGCTCGCCCATACTAAAAGGATCTATTTCTATTGACCTACCTTCCAACTTTACTCTCTTCGTCAAGCAGAACTCTGCAGTTTAAAGCCCTTTGTTTTTGAAAACTTTTAATTTTGCAGTAATTTCAAACTTAGTGAGAAATTGCCAAGAACAGCACATAAACTTCCATATTCACCAGGTTTTTAAAATATTTAAACATTTCTTGGAATTTAAAAATACTCCTGCAGTTGCCAAGGGCTGGGGGAGGGGAGAGAGATTTAGTGTTTAGTTGGGTATAGAGTTTCAATGTTGCAAGATGAAAAAGTTTTACAACTCTGTTGTACAATAATGTGAATATACTTAACACTATTGAACTGCACACTTAAAAATGCTTAAGATGGTAAGTTTTATGTTATATGGTGTTTTTACCACACACACAGACAATACACTCCACCACCTTCAAGCATGAGAACAGTTAAACCATCTTTGAAAAATAAGTTATAATTCTCTTACAGACCCCAAAAAAGAAAATATCTTTTATCCTCTGAATTATTCTTCCAGAAATCAATCTGTTTTGTGTTTTCAAATTCTTTTATTTTCAAATTCCCTATGGCTCATTTTAAATTCCTTATTTTATAAGGGAACCCCTTTTTCATCATATTCCAACCTCAACAGAAATAAAATTGATTCTTTAATAAAAATAATAACTTAGATTCACCAATCTTTAAATTTTTTTTTAAAGATTTATGGTCTGTCTATGTGTATGGGAGACATGAGAGATATGTCTGTGTGCATGTGTGTGTTTGTGTGTAATTTCTTTTTTCTGAACCATTTGGGAGAAAATCCCATACATAATGTCCACTTACCCTTTAATATTTCAATGTGTTTTCTTATGAATAAGGATATTCTCGGACATACCATATTCAGGAAATTTAACATTGACACAGTAGTTTTATCTACTCTGCAGTCCATATTCCAACTGCACCAATTATCCCAATAATGTCCTTTATAGCAATTTTCTGCTCCAGGAAAGGATCCAGTTTAGGGTCACATTTTGCATTTAATTGCCATGTTTCTTTGGTTTCATTTAATCTGCGGCTTTGTTTGTTTTGTCTTTGATGACATTGACAATGTTTTAAGAATACAGGCCAGTTATTTTATAAAACTTTCTTCTTTTGGGGTTTGTCTGATGCTTCCTCATAATTAGATCCAGGTTAAAGCTCTTCAATGTATGTTCACACCTATCATACTCATAAGTTTATAAAGCATTCTGTTTCTATTAAAATACATTTATTTCATTAAATAAGTTTCTAAAAATGTTTTTGTATAAAACACACAATTCTACTATTTCAAGACGTTGTTGGCTTTGTACTTTTTAGTGGTTTCAAAGACCAGTGAAGTTTACTTAATAATAGATCCAATTTCTCTAAACTCATTTATTCAATTACTTTAACATTAAGTATGGAAATAATTCATCAGACAGGACTACTAAAAGTATCAAGGTTTGGTGATTTTTTATTATCCACCAGTGAATAAATTAAAACTATAGCATTTCCTTTTTTTATTTCTACATCTCTTAATGATATCAACAGGAGAGAAAATACTTGAATTCTGATATTGTAAACAAGAAGTACTTTTGGCTTTTGAAATGGTAAAGGTTTTGAGTCGGTTCTTTATTCCAAGATTACAGGTATTTTTAAATGATGAGTGGGGAAAAGGGAACTGGGAAAAGTCCCTTAACTGTATAGAAAGCTGTACGTCTTAAAAAATATTAAAAGAAATTTTCACTACAGCTATAGCGCTCATTCTGGAAACAAAAATAAAAATGGTCCTTCAGGATTTTTCTGGGGAATAAGTAAGAATTGTTTCAAGGAAGAAACTGGCAGGGATGTGGACATTTTGGACAGGGACAGAAAAATGCCGTAGTGTTTTGGACACCATGAAAGTACTAGAATCTTTAAATAAATATTTTACATTGTGAGAAATGTCTGAGTGTTAAACACGTTCCCCCCCACACACACCAGGGAAAATTAAACAAATATTTCTTTAAGAATATAGAAACAAGTCTCCCCTTCTCCCCCCAAGTTAAAGTGTCTTTGGCTCTGCTTCTAGGACTTCTAGGAACGTGCAATTAAAATAAAATCGAAACAACAAAACCCTTGCAGCATTTAGATTTTTTTTTTTCAAGCGCTCTGGAAAATTCAAAGTCCGACTCTTTTCAAGTCTCGACGGTGGGAGTGCCGAGGCTTCCAGGACTTCTCCCACATACTCTAAAGACGGGGCTCTGGCCCCGGTCACCCCCGTCAGCCGGCGGCCTCGGCGCCGCCGGGCTGCAAGGGGGTGTGTCCCGGCCCCACGGCAGCCGGACGCCGCCTCCGCCGCGGGCCCACCTGCTGCCCCCGGCGGCCCGGGCCCACGGGAGGCGCGGAGCGACCGTTGCGCCGGGGCCGCCCCTGGCCCCGAGCACGAGGCCCCCACCCGGCGGGCGCAACCGACCCGGGGCAGGTCCCGCCGCCCGCTTCCGGACGGGCCGTGCAGACGGAACTGGAGCTCCTTTCGCCTTTCAGCGCGAACTGCTACCGGCCCCCGTGGGTTGGGGGACTTTGCACTTTCTCCGCGCGCGCGCACACACACACGCGCGCACACACACACAGCCCTCCAAAGTATGGGAGGTCGGGAAAAAACGTAGGCTCCCGGGCCCTCCCCGAGCTCTTTGCGCCGGCGGCCCCTCCTGCACTGCCCTGGCGGCGGCCAGCGCCAATTCGCGTCGCGGAGCAGGGTTCTCCCTCCGGCCTTCGCTAGGCGGGCGTGGAGTCTGCGAGCGTCGGGGGAGGGGTGCAGGGCGGAGAAAGAGCATCCCCGCGCCGCCGCTGCGGCCGCCGCCGGCCGGCTGGGGGAGGCCTCGTCACAGCCGCCGCCTCAGCAGCGGCCGCAGATCTCGCGGTGTTTGCCGGCGGCTCTGCCGCCATATTGTGTGACAGTATTTTGATTTGCACTGGGCTGGCGGAGCCGCGGCGAGAGCGAGCGAGAGCTGGGGGGGTGGGGGGAGGGCAGGCGAGCGCGAGGGGGGTGGGGGCAGAGGGAGGTAGGGAGGCCGAGCGAGCCGGAGCCGAGGAGCGGGGAGCGGCGACGCCACCCAGCCAGCGTTTTTGATCTGCAGCAGCCGCCGGCGGGGCGACCCAGCCCGACCCCCTCTCCTCCCCTCCCCCTCAGCCACGAGCAGCGGCGGCAGCGGCCGGAGGGAGTTGGCGGCGGCGGCCGATCGGAGGGGCTGAGCGGGGAGGGAGGGAGGGCTGAGGTGTCCCCCCTGCCGGGTGGAATCGGAGGCGGCGGCGGCGCTGGCGGCAGCCGTGGTGGTGGAGGCGGCAGCGGCGACGGTGGAGACGGCTGCCCTAGTGGGAGAGGCGGCGGCGGCGGCCGAGGAGGAGGAGGGGGAAGCGGCGGCGGCGAAGGGTAAACGGACAGCACTGCCGGGCCTCGGCGGGATCCCCAGTCCCGGCTCTCCCCTCAGCTCCCCGCACCCCCCCCTTCGTCTGGAAGGGGCTCTGCTGCCTCGCAGGGCCCTTGCGGGGCGTCCGCTTCTTCCTCTCACTCTTCCTCCCTCCGCCTCCTTCCTCCCCCAGTGGCGAGGCAGAGTGGGAGGCCCCCCAGTTCCTCCCGACGGGGTGGGGGTGGGGAGCCTCGGGCCGGGCCTGGGCTCCGGGGAGTATGTGTGTAGGGGGAGGGGGGCATTCATTGGAGTCAGGAGCTGGGGAGAGCCCCGGGTAGGGGAGGGTGCCAGGGGGTGGGGAGGGCCCCTGCCTGCACCGGTGCTCCCGGCCCGCCCCTCAGGCATGTGCGAGATGGGGGTGGGGGAAAGGAAAACTTTTTGGGGAGCCGTGGTCCAGATAAAGATGACTTAGCGAGGGTGTTGGGGAGAGAGACTGAAAGAGTTGTGTGGGGACGGGGGGAGAACTTCGTTCCCTTTGCAGTGTTGGTTTTCTGCAGCCTTCTTGAAATGGGGAGCAAGCCCCGCTGTGATTATGTGGCCCCCTCGATTTCACTGGATAATTCTAGTGTTCTGTCCATACGACCTCCAACCCTAAGATTGTGGTTGTAGCAGGGAGGCTGAAAGGGTCTGGATATTGCTGAACAGGTGACAGGTGTATCTTTCTGTTGCTGATGCTGTCGGATTGCTCGGGCAGAGTTGTATACCAAAGTCTCAGAGACCGTGTGAGTTTGTATTTATGTGTTTGGCCACGTTTCATTCCATATATAGTATATTTGAGATGTTAGGTTTCCATTCTTCAAGTCCGCTTAATTGTTGTGGAGAAATTCTTCAAATGTTTCTGATAAGAGGGGTTTCCAGGAGAGCGGAGGGAATTTGCAGCTTCACAGGGGTTTCTCAGTAGTTCATGAAATTCAGGTCCCCAATGCGAGGCTGTTTTCAAGAGCTTTTTATTCACTGGAAAGTTCTTGAACGCTAAGGGTCGTATTCGAGGCAACAGTGAGGCAGTATAATTTTGCATCCATTTTGTCTGTTTTAGGTAAGTTTGTAAAATGTCAAATTTTAGGGTCAGGTTGATTCACTTTTTATAAAAGGAACTGGTCTGTGCTTTAGCTCACTCAGAAGAGAATGTTGCTCATTATGCAATATCAGATTTGGCTGGGAATTTTGGTGGGCATGGAATAGAATTTTTGCTTTCAGTTTTTACAGTATTAACTGGTCGCCACACTTTTCTTCCTACAGTAGCAGAGTATTGGCACCCTTTTTTTGTGACAGTGAAATAGTGATTGGTTTTAATAAACCCTGCAGTTTGAAACTTTAGTTTGAAAGCATTGCATTTTCTAATAAAGGAAGACATGCTTTTCATCTTATTGTATGTTTTGGCTGAGCACTTAAATTAGAAACAATGGAAGGAATTGTCAGATAAATGAGCTACAAATTAAATTAGGGCCAAGTTAGTTTAAAAGGGATCCTGAAGTATTTAAAAACGTGTATGGAACAAATATATTGAGTGATGGTACCATCAGTGTGTTAACAGGAAATAGAACAAAAATTCCAGTGATTCAGAACTTCTGTTGGGGTTTTTTTTTTTTTTTTAATCTAATCAGTTTCTAATATAGGGTCTTATGATTTAAATCTTTAAAGAATCAACTGAAAGTTGAATGTGTTCATTACATGAGTAGTCATTCACTGAATATACTCCATTATTTCATTTTTTCTCTTGGGTACATGGAATAACTTTCTGAGTTTAAAAGTATTCTCATAGGACACTGATGAACTGCAATTATTCACCCCTCTTTAGTGAACTGTCAAGTAGTAGAGTCTGTGCTTTTGTAACTCATTATGAAGTGGGTAAAGGGCACCCGGGTAGCTCAGTCGGTTAAGCGGCTGCCTTCTGCTCAGGTCATGATCCCAGAGTCTTGGGATCGGGTCCCGCATCGGGCTCCCTGCTCAGTGGAGAGTCTGCTTCTCCCTCTCCCTCTGCCTGCCTCTCTGCCTGCTTGCGTTCTCTGTCAAATAAATAAAATCTTTAAAAAAAAAAAAAAAAGTAAATGATGGGAGTCTCATCTGATAACCAGTTTCCTGAAAAATACATTTTGACTTAAATCAATCCTGTTTGATTGAAATAACATCTATATTTGGTCCTCTCTTTAGTGGAAAGAAGGATTTGCCTTCAACTGAGGATTGTTTTAAGATTTGCATACAATTATTACATCTAATGAAGTGAGGCTTTTAAACTGTGCAGAGTTAGGTAGACACTGCCCAGATCCCCAATTATGTTAATGAGTATTCCTTCGTTAGTATTAGTAATATGGGTAATTATCTTAACATGATACAAATAGAAGTTTATTCTATTTGTCATTTTCTCTGTAAGGAAAATTCTTTTCTCAAAATACTGTTCAGGATGAAATGTACACATATATCTGTGAACACACTGTATTTTGAAAAATAGGTATAATGTAGATCCTTTACATGAAACTAAACATTACATGCCAAAAATTCCTTGAGGGATGTCTGAATTTTCTAAACATTTTTTAAGATACATAAACTGATTAAGACTAAATGTTTATTTTTTTAACAATCATCAACTTACTTGAAGTGGGAATCTAAACGAATCTTTTTCGTTTAGAAAAAAGTATCTGATAATCTTTCCAATATGTAAAGTTTGTAAATTAAACTGTAATTCAGAAAGGCTTCAATTCTGTTATACCTCTCCCTGGCCAGCCTCCCATGACCCAGAGAACAGTGGTAGCACTTTTCCTTTGTTTCACTTATGTCATCTTTATTTGATCCATCTGAGATTGGGACTCTCTGTAATAGAAGGATTTTGAGGTAATTACAGAGGCAAATGTGAAGATTGGGGCAAAATAGTAATGAGGAGAAGATAAGGGATTATTAGATGAACAGTTTTAGGTAGCTAGAAATATGTAGATGTGGGTAGTGGTGGCTGCCAAGCATAAGAAAATGATCATGCTGAACTGTACTAAGGAGATTTGCTCTGAATCTTTTGAAAGACTCTGACTATATGTATGTTATCTTATTTGAAGCCTTCTGTATCAAGGGATGCCTGGGTGGCTCAGTTGGTTAAGCGTCTGCCTGTGGCTCAGGTCATGATCCCAGGGTCCTGGGATTGAATCCCGCAGGGAGCCCGCTTCTCCCTCTGCCTGCCGCTCCCCCTGCTTGTGCTCTCTTTCTCTGACAAACAAAATCTTTATTAAAAAATGAAATAAACCTGTATCACAGTGGTAAGGAAATTATGTGAAATTTAAATGTATGTACATATTATTTACCTCTGGCTCATATTTTGAAAACACTTTACAGTAGTTTAATATTTCATTTCTTATGATTCTGGTCCTATAAAATCAAGGACACTTGCTTAATCAGAAAGCTAAAAAACCTGAGAAAGTACTCTTAGGGTAGCTAGTATTGTACTTTCAGCATTCCCTTTTGTTGACCACTAAACCTGACTGTGATCCTGATGGAGTCATAGATTAAGAATGGCTTTCTTTTTCTTTGTTTTCTAAATATTCCATTCCTCAAAACACAGTGTTTAATACCAAGTAATAATACTGACCTTCTAGCATTAAATTTAAGCATTTCATTTAGACTTTTCACTCTGATTTTTATTGAGTCACTTTACAGAATATGCTTAGTTTCTAATTTCTTAATCCTCAAAAAAGGAATGAGCTACTGTTAAAAGCACAGTAAAAAGTGTCAGCTGACAAGTTGATATTTCAGGAGATCCAAGTCAGAATTGCCACAAACTAAAAGCATAGATGTTAATATCAATAAAACATACCTATGAAAATAGATTAAAGTTTAGGCACTTAAAAGTGCATTTTTTCAAAATACGATTTATGTAGCCCCCCCTTATCTCTTGATGCTTGATAAATTGCTGAATGTCTTTTCTATTTGCTTCTTAATATTTTTTATGTAAAATTTTAATCTATTGTATTTCTAATCATCTGTTTCAGTTCAAAATTTGGTTATCAAGGGAGCCATGACTTTTTTTTTGACCTTTAATAACTTAATATCTTTTTAGTGTTTCTTTCATAGTAAAGGAAAGAAAAAGACACTAATATGTACCAAATGCCTGCTGGGCGCGAAGCTTTCATTCACTTCACAAATACATATTGAGCACTTACTATGTGCCAGAGATCTTTGCGATATTGGAGATGGCAGCAGTGACTGACATAGACAAAATTTCTGTCCTTTGTTTAGTTTACATTTAGTAGTGAAAAACAAATGAGTAAAATGTAGTATGTCTGGGATGAAAAAGTACTGTGGAGAAAAACAAAAATGGGTTGGAGAATGGACATTGTTTATTTGCTGTTTTCAGAACTGACGGATATTATCCTTGATTTCAAAAACAAACTTACATAAGTTTTTTCTTTAAGAATATGCTTTATAACTTGGGAACACAACTATGTTTGTACTTTAGAGTTATAGTTTCCAATGATAGCAGTTTCCTATTGTTAGTACTTCAGAAAACTGCTTTGCCCCTCAGTAGAAAATCGAGTCCACTATCCTGGTTTTGCCACTGACCAGCTTTGTGATTTGCAGAGGATAACAATTTTGTAGCCTCTCTGAACTTGTTTTCTTCTCTTCTCTCTAAAAGGAGTGTGATATCAATAAGGGTGATGTGATTACAAATTATACATTTTATGTCAATTATCTGCTATATAGAAGGGTTTGGGTAAGTTGTAACATTTTTGTTTACTGCTTCTCAGAAAGTTCTGTCAAACATAGTTAAAGTTGGTGACCCTTCCAAGAAGCTCTCCTAACACTGTGGGTCATTGTTTAATATATATTTCACTTAAACTAAAACATTCTTGTCTGATAGCATAAGGTTAATTAAAATGCACCTGTAACTTATAGTCACTAGTACTGTCTGGGAAATTGGTACACTTGCCTAGTCAATGTGGTATCAGGTATAAATCTACAGTGTTTTTCTGGTGACAGCATTGTGACATAGCTTATTAAGGTTGATGAGCTGGATCTCAGCATCTTGACGAATACACACAATAGTGTATTAACATTCCAATTTATGCAAATAGTTGTGAAACATTTAGTACAGCCTGGCATATTGTAAGCATTCAATAAATGTTTGCTCTTTTCATTATTTATTACTCCTTTGTTGTGTGAAGAGGGCAATCCAAAGAATTCACAAAGTATTAAGGAAAACTTTTACAAAGATAAAAGTGCAAATTGTTGATGAGTTTTTTTGAGGGGAGAGTAGCCAATCAAATTGAAGTATTTGTTTTTCATTTTTATTCTGGAAGATTACTAACTGAGCTTTCTCAGGGACAGACCATGGCTTATTTTCATTTCAGTCTTGACTTCA